AGTGTCCTTTCGATTTCTCTTTGAAAAAAGAAAACAAAAGGAAAAAAAAAAAAAAAAAAAAAAAAAGAAACCAGCCACCAAAAGCCAGGCCAGCCTGCTGCGATATGCGACCGGCCTCGCTCTCCTAGCGGTTACTCACATCCGAACCAGCCTGCCTGCCACGAGCAGCCTCCATCCATGCCCCAGCGGGTAAGCTCGGACACCAGCCAGCCCCTTACCTTTATAGTTGTGCCCGTGGCCGTGTGGGTTATTGCATTTCCCAAAGAGCTTCAAGTTTTCTTCGTCGCTCAGCGATTTGCTGTGAGAAACACACACGTGGCGTTTCAGCAGCGCCTCCGCACCGCCCCAGCTCCGCTTCGACCTGGATGGCCTTTCCAGCTCCCTCCTCTTCCCCGCTCCCCCAAACTTGACCCGGGAGGCCCAGGCCAGGCTGCGGGAGCGCTTCCGCCCTGCCAAGCCGCACTTGACAGCGTTCTGCACGCACAAATGTGGGCCTCACCGCAACCGCTCAACGCCAGTGCCGCACCAGTGCTGCGAGCCAGCCAGGTGCCAGCGCAGCCAAATTGCTTGGGTTCCTCCCAAACCCCTTTAGGTTCTTCCCAAATCCCTTGGGTTCTTCCCAAACCCCTTGGGTTCCTCCTAAACCCCTTTGGGTTCTTCCCAGACCCCTTGGGTTCCTCCCAAACCCCTTGGGGTTCTTCCCAGACCCCTTGGGTTCCTCCCAAACCCCTTTGGGATCCTCACAAACCCCCTTGGGTTCCTCCCAAACCCCCTTTGGGATCCTCACAAACCCCCTTGGGTTCCTCCCAAAACCCCTTTGGGATCCTCACAAACCCCCTTGGGTTCCTCCCAAAACCCCTTTGGGATCCTCACAAACCCCCTTGGGTTCCTCCCAAAACCCCTTTGGGATCCTCACAAACCCCTTTGAGTTCTTCCCAGACCCCTTGGGTTCCTCCCAAATTCCTTTAGTTTCTTTCTAAACCCCTTTGGGTTCCCCCCAAATCCCTCTGGGTTCCTCCCAAACCCCTTCGGGATCTTCCCGGACCCCTTGGGTTCTTCCCAAATCCCTCTGGGTTCTTCCCAAACCGCTTTGGGATCTTCCTGGACCCCTTGGGTTCCTCCTAGACCCCTTGGGTTCCTCCCAGACCCCTTTGGGTACTTCCTACACCCCTTTGGGATCTTCCCAGACCCCTTGGGTTCCTTCTAAACCCCTTTGGGGTCCTCCTAGACCCCTATGGGATCTTCCCAAACCCCTTTGGGTTCCTCCTAGACCCCTTGGGTTCCTCCCAAACCCCTTTGGGTACTTCCTACACCCCTTTGGGATCTTCCCAGACCCCTTGGGTTCCTTCTAAACCCCTTTGGGGTCCTCCTAGACCCCTATGGGATCTTCCCAAACCCCTTTGGGTTCCTCCTAGACCCCTTGGGTTCCTCCCAAACCCCTTTGGGATCTTCCCGGACCCCTTTGGGATCTTCCCGGACCCCTTGGGGTTCCTCCGGCCGGTTCCGACGAGTAGGAAGCGACCGAAGCCGGGTATAACCGTTAGTGCTGGTCGCTCAGGAGTAAGCAAAGCCCCGGGGGCTCCCGCGCCACAGAGGAAGCCGCTGCGGGCTGCAGGCGCCGCTCAGGAAGGAGCG